AATTTTTGGTTTAGTTTTGGTTGGTTATAAAAACCTTGAGCTACAGTTCTTTCACTACAGTATTAATAGTTGAAAAGCTGATATGCTGTTGTTATTGTGTTATAGCATATGCAGTATAACACTCTGAGGTCCACATATTGACACCTGTGAATGACCAAATCGAAAGCTTTGAAAGCTACTGACTTGCAGGCACCTGTTTGAAACACAGCAGGAAGTGGCAAGACCATCCTAGAGCCTGTCACTATCTTATAAATTCCTGGCAGCATGATTAAAAAGTGTGATTTGGTAGGTTGCCATGGGTGCTCAGTTTGGATCCAGGTAATCCAACAGCTCACCAAACCATCAGCTGAGCTGTACATCCCTCTGAGGCTTCCTCTGCCTCAGATCTGGACCAGACCGTAACAGGGGAGTTACCTGATGGAAACTTTACTTTAAGTCTTATTTCTTTGAGAACATTTGCCATCAACCACCAAGGTATACCATAGCTTCACCGGGAGAGACTCTGCAGCCCTGCCTGTATTGCTTAATTGTGCAGTTTCTCTAACCAAGAAAGTAAGGAAGTATATTGTTCACATATGCATCAAATGGGGCCTCACTGGAAAATGAACCCAGGATGTATGTCATATCATATATCATCATCACACGGCATCTGCCATGCGGTTTTAACACACGGCAGATGCCATGTGGGCTTATCGCATTTTGTTTGTGATAAACCCACACGGCATCTGCAAATGGAATTTGAAGTACATTTTTAGCAGCATGTGCACATGCATGTGTGGGATCACGAAAGAACATAAATATTTAGGTTTAATTTTTCATGTTTTTGGAATCAGTGAAGTCATTGTTCCCTGGGCTGGGAAGCCCGCTCTTTTCCGGGCAAACTCTAGTGTTACCAGAAAGTTTTTCTCTTCCCAGCTGGTCTCGGTCGTCAGCCAGGCGCTCTTAGTCGCTCAGGAGACACAAGGCCTGAGCTCTCCTTCTGAGGGCCCAGCGCCAAACCCTGAGCCCAGATCCATTTTTCACCCTCTTGTTGCTCTGGCTGTAGATATAACACCTGGTGGTGATGACAGCTACTGACAGTCTAAATCTATTATCAAGACTTCCAGTTTAACAGCATCACCAATCTGCTGCTTCGTTTAGCTTCCTTGGTCAACACCTCTATGCTAATTTTAAACTGCCTATTTTCCAGCCCTTTTTTCCCCTTTCCAGTATAGCAGTTTTCATCCTCTTTTGCACTAAAACACAGCAGATGCAGTGAAAGGCCCGCTATAAAATAAATAATCATTTTGAACCGTGAATCATCCAAAGCTACTCTTTAAGAATCCAGGAATAAAAACATGGAACTGGAAATGAGCAGATGAGGTCCCCTTTAAGGGTCATTAACTTCCACTTACACCCACCATAAATTAGCTTTGAACTGGTTAAAAGCAAATATATTAAAGGCCAATAAAAGGGATGTGAGCATCGTTAGTTTTAGTGAAACCAAAAAGCATTTTATCATTCATCAGGCCATCAAAAGAGTTGCCCGTGTGCAGATCCTGCAGGAAATTGAACCTCATAGCTGAAGAAAGGAAAAACAAAAAACATCAACAGTCACTTCAGAGGTCAATAAGAAATATCAGATACCTGAAAAACTGAACACTAATATGGGCAAATATAGGTAATAGTTATATGTCTATTATTTTTTATTATTTTTATCTGTGTAAAAGTCACTTTTTCAAGAGTGACCTGATGAAAAGATCTTTTAACAATGACAAACGTAAACAGTCACACAAATACAATGACACACAGTACAAGCGACCACAGACCACAGAAAAAGACGTTTGTTATGGCCAGTAAAATAAATAGTGGTTTACTCCGTGCAGCGAAAGTAAGGTGCAAACAAACTCAGTGACATTGAGCGGCTTCAACCAAGGTCATGTGACATAACTGCTGATGACGCAAAGTAGGTTCAACTTTTCATGCCAAGAGTTTGATGAACTACCAATGGGTGCAGCTGGTTGGCAAATGAGGGGCCAGTAAATGCGTTTAATGGTTACCTGAACAACCAGAGCCTTTAAATTTGCTCACAGTAACTAATTCTGATTGCAGTACTTTTGAGCACCTGTATTTTTTGCAGCAGAGCTTTTTGGGGGGCAAATATGTGGAAAATACAGTAAGAGTGATGGTCATGTTGATTATGGTTTTTACACTACAGCCGTAAAAGCCTCATGGGGTTTTGCCATCACTCTGCTGGGCGGGTGGGTGGGCAGGCAACGTGGACATCCAAGTTTATGAATGCAATAACTTGAGAATGAGGTGACGTAGGAGTTTCAAATTCATACCACAGGGGTAAGGTGTGTCACAGGTCCACGATTGTTACACAGGTGTAAGACTCTATGGAGAAGAACTGGACTGAGGATATGAGAAAGGTGTGAGTGTTGATTTATGGGGCTGCTTTTGTTAAACCTTCATGATAATTATGAGGAGATGCTTAAATTCATTGGGTAGATTTTTGAACTTAAATGGCTGCAGTTACACTGGGATCCGATGACTTTGAAAGTCTGAATTTTTCCAAATGGCGCCCAGCCGAGTTCATTGTTTTATTTCAACATGTTTGTCCTTACAACACATCCACATAAAGTTCACGAGTATCCAGATTATGATATCTTGGCGTCTGCTGCAGTTCCATTATTTTTTTATGTTTCTTGTGGATGTGCAATAGCAAATCCACTAACTGCCAGCAAACTGTGAGCAAGAATATATAATTTGCTGTAGGAAACATCCCTCCAGCCACAGCCCTTGATGCTCTGCCAGGCTCTTCCTACCTTTCCTCTCCCAGTCAGCTAGCTCCAACCGTGGGCCCCAAACCTGGACTTGCACACCCGAGCTCACCTCTAGCGCCAGTCCTTGTCGCTCTCCAAAGCCCTGCTCGTCTATTTTTAGCTGTGCTGCGCCTCATGCCGGCGTGGCTCCACTGTTTGCCTAGTGTGTGGTGTTGTGACAAGGGCCCGCATGGGAGCCGTAATGATACAGTGTCTCTGTCTGCCTCCCGGTGCTCAGATAGAGATTGTTTAAACAGTATCCTGAGCCGGGGACGGGTCCCATGACAACTCCATAAATATTTACCAGCAGCAGCCACGCCGCTTCACTTGAGGAAAGCTTGTCTGCAGGCTACCTCTGCAATGTTTTTCTTTTGCCCCGTTTTTCCATTGTCACTCGAAACTGTAGTGTGTGTTGTTTTGGTGATTTCCTTTAGATGTTGTTGATGCCTTTTTTTCCCCTTCTTTTGAGAAAAGTGTTTTTAGTAGTGGCTGGGTTTTTTCCGCCTTTACACGTCATCATCCTGCTGGAATGTCAGGATGTCCTGTATGTTAGCGCTACGCTGGATGTACACACGTTGGCCTCTGTGGTAAACACATTAAAAGAAACACTGCGGTCCAGTTCACTCAAGTTCAGCCTTACAGCTTGAAACTTTGTTGCCTATGTTACAAATACTTCTTCATTAAACACCTACAAATTAAAAGCATTTCACCAATGAACTGCTGCAGTCAGCCCTGTCAGGATGCGTCACACAAAAGTTATTTACAAGGGATTGCAAACTGTGGCGGTGTCCACAAGTGAAAGTTGGAGATACATTTGAGAGCAAGTGCTCATGTATGCTCATTAGTGGTTGTTTCTTTGGGTTACTTAAACTTGTCTGGTGTGTGAAGGAAGCTAAAATCATGTTACAAGCTGCAGCTTGCATGTTTAAGGGTTGGAGTAACAAAGCCAGAGACGCTAAAAATTCCTTTGCTACTATTACTCCTGCTGCTACTAGTGTCAGTTTTTTGCTTAGATTTAAGTGATTGTGCAGTATTTATTGCTTTTTAATGAGTTACCCGTCACGGTTCGAGTCACGTTAATTTATTTAAATGTTTAGAAAGTGCTGGATACTGCAGGAAACTGCTAGAATATTATGTAAGAAATAATTATAGGCTGTATTGTTGGTGCTGGTTTCACGTCATGCTTTCATAATTTGTCATAATGATTGTGGTTTGAAAAAAAAGTTCAGTGTAATTAATCCTGCAGAAATCCTGAGCACAAATAAACAGAGGAACAAATTCTTAATAAACTGGTTAAATGGATAGCTTACAGTTTATTTCTCTCACTCTCTCATAGATGATGGAAAGATCTTTCACGGCAGCGGAGTCGGAGATGCTTTTGGTCCTCGCTGCTTCAAAGGTGACATCATGGGCTGCGGCATCATGTTCCCACGAGACTACATCCTGGACGGGGAAGGTGAGAGGAAAGCTGCAATTACACTGTCACTCATTAAAGAGGTTTGTTTGTCCTGAACACACCTCCGTGATTGTATCGATGCCGTCATCTAAGCTGGTTATTTAAATAAACGAGTGAAACAATTGCTTGACAGTATTTTTTAAGGGCAAGAATCAGGCGTGCAGAAGGCGACTGGTTCACAGTCGTGTACCTGTTCCAGTCTTAAACATTCCAATTTCGTGCATTTTTTAGGTAACAGAATGCACAAACAAATGCACTTATTGCCACTACAGAATCAGATCTGTTTTTGATGTTTTAAGGCAGCGGTCTCCAACCTTTTTTGCGCCACTGACCGGTTTATGCCCGACAATATTTTCACGGACCGGCCTTTAAGGTGTCGCGGATAAATACAACAAAATAAAACTAGTACCGGTACCGAAAAAAAGAAGATTTATTCATAACACACGTGAAAAGACCCAGGAAAACCGCGTTAACGATAAAAATGTTAACAAAATAACGCTGAAAACTGATAAAAACCCTGAAAACCATACATTTCACACCTGAGCCTCTCGTGGCCCGGTACCAAACGACTCACGGACCAGTACCGGTCCGTGGCCCGGGGGTTGGGGACCGCTGCTTTAAGGGGCTCAGGATCTCAGCCAGTTAGTGTAACTGTTTGGCAGACAGAGATTCATGTTGACTGAATCTTTTAATGATATTATGAACTGCTGCTGATGAAATCCCATATTAGATTATTTTCCCACTCAGGTTTGAATGGTGAACCCCTCTTTGTGTCTGTTTTTGCACCCTATCACACTGTTGATCTTTTGCAATTTAATTTCAAACATTATAAGATTTCTGCTGTTATTAGTTTTACAACTTCTATATTTTGTTATATTCTCAGTTCTTCTTACTGTACCATTTTCATGTAAAAAATATCAAATTATTCTTTTTTCTAAACTTTGCATTTAATTTTTATTTACATTTTGTTCAGTTTCCCAGGATTTTTGTATTTACTGCGATTAAGGAATGTGTTGCACGTGAAAGAAATAATGTTCAAACTTACAAGTGGCCTCAGACAGCAGCTTATGTCATCTAACCATATCTGTCTCATCACACTGTGTTACCTGACCTTAGGTTTTATTAGGGAATGACTGTGAAGTACAGCAAGCTGCAGCCTCTTCTTAACCCCACAGTGTGTGCTTTGTCGTCAGGGGAGACAGATGACTGGGATCGACTGGACATCCGCCCAGGTCACGCCAGCGTCCAGAATGTTCTGTACCTGAATGATGAGGAGGAGGAGGAGGAGGGGGAGGATGGAGAGGAGGCGGGAGAACAGGAACAGGAGGGCAGGAAGGTCACGGTGAGGAACAGTTTTAAACACAACACAACCTTGTTTAATTTTTGCTGTATATATGTAAGGTGAGGTATGTGTGTTCAGGGTCTTTGGCCTGGGGCGGGGGGGGATATTCAGTGCTGCCCTTGGTTAATGAACCCCAGTGATACTTCTTGTGAAGAACAGATAGAATAGCAGAGCTCTGTGCTGATGCAGGTGCAACAAAAAGCTTTCGCGGTTTTTTCCGGTACCTTTTGGAGCAGTTTAAGTAGTAACATCCCCGAGGATTGTACCGAGGTTTTGGTGATTGAAGTGTGATGCTCAATCATCCAGGTAAGGGAATCCCAAAAATAGATTCTGTTCATCTGGAAGTAGCGTTTGCAGTGGGAGAAATGTTTTATCACTCATTCAGTCTGAGCTGACTGCAGGTTTCCCCAACCTTATAAACAGTACATTTGCTCAATGATTGAAACTAGCACCACTGACGAACAACGGGCTGTGAGGTCAGTTTCTTGATCATTAATATGCAAATTGTCATGACCTTTGATCAACAGCCACTGATCAATGACAATTGACCAATGGCCATGAGTTGGGGAATGGCTGCAATCACAGCATTGTAAGATGGCGAAAGATGTACCCTTAGGCCCACTCCTCGATTCAGAGATGGTCTTTCCCTTTTCCTTGACTCTCCGCTCAAACCAGCGTTCCTCCCTGTCCATGATGTGTGCGCTCAGAGTGTCCACTGTCCTGTAGGTGTAAATAGACTGCAGAGTCCTGGCCTGACGAGGTAGCTCTTCTGTGTTGTGCCATCCGCTTAGCCAGAGGTTGTTTGGTTTCCCCGATGTATAAATCACGGCAATTCTCCTGGCACTTAACAGCGTACTCTATGCTACGCTGTTTGTGTCGGGGGACCCGATCCTTGGGGTGGACCAATTTTTGGTACAGTGTGTTTTGGGGTTTAAAAGCCACAGAGACAATGTTTAGAGAAAATGTGTCTCCGTCGATACTCCTGACACATATTTCAGGAGTATTTCATATGCCATTGATCTGTGGTTGTTGATCAGTGGTCATGGCAATTTGCATATCAAAACTGACCTCACAGCCCGTTGTTCGTCAGTGGTGCTAGTTTCAGTCATTGAGCGAATGTACTGTTTATAAGGTTGGGGAAACCTGCAGTCAGCTGACACTGAAGAAGTCACTTGGATGAGTGACGAAATGTTTCTCCTACGTCCAGATGAACAGACTCAAGTTTTTGGGATCTTTGAGGAGCACTTCTCGTGCTCTGGTTTCTCCGACTATTGACTAACATGTTAGGTTAAAGCTGCCTCTATCAGCCCATTAAATTCTTGCAAAAGAGATTATTAATCCAAAGAGTTTCACTTCCTGGTTAAACAAATAATAAATGAAGTACAGGTCAAGACCTTTGCACATAGACATTAACTAGCTTGATTTGAGCCTGCAATTCAATGGAACAACAGGCTCATTTAGTGCTTTTACAGTTTTTCGCTTCACTTTAATAAACAATCAATAAACATTTCATATTACGTTCTTACAAATATTGTAATTTACCCTTTTTACTTTTATCTCACATCCGTGCGTGTACTTGTACAGAGTATATTTTCCACTTTCTTTTTCCACTTCTGTATTTTCTTCTCAAGTTTGCTCTTAAATGCCCTAAAGTGTTAAATTGAACTTGTTTATACCTGCAGACATCCTTAAGTACAGTAATGGAAGATGACCGTGGGTGCTGGGAGGAGTTTTTAGATCATGAGCTCTGCTGCAAAAGCTTGGTATTGTGCCTGTGATTGCCTGAGCATTCATGCTGCTATACATGATTTATCACAGCTATGATGTTTTCCACTTGCCAGCAAGAACCATAGAAGTCTGAACAAGTATCCAAAGTCAGCATTGTTGCAGTAAGATCTAAATTAATGTTGATTCTGGGAATTAAGAAGGCGGTATATACTTGTTTGCGTCTGATTTCACATGTCAACCAGCCACTATGGGAAACCAACTGAATGTGTAAATGTGAACACTGAGGTGGTGACCATCTTTGAGATAACGCATGACCTCTCACTAGCTAGACTTCCTGTCCCAAATTCCTTTTGTAAGTGCAGATCCCGAGTCATGAAAATCGATCTTTTGGCAGCATCACGAGAGGCAGAGAGAGCTGCAGCAGATAGTTTGGCTCCAAATGGATTACATGAAGACGCAGAAAATGCTGAGACAAACTAAAACTTCAGAAGAGTTGTGACAAACTCTCCAAGATGCTAGAGGAACAAACAACCTACCCTCTTATACACTGAAAAATGCTCGTCTATATTGAAGATAACTGATTATAAATTAGATGGTGGCCACTGCAAATATTGATTTTCTTTTTTCTATTTACAAGAAACCGAGGTACTTAAAATCCTCCAGTCGGAAAGCAACTCGTCCACGACCCGGGCACTTCATCCTTTTTCCGGCTGAGGAAAAGGCTAGGTAGTGACCGAAAGAATGAGATGGTGGATACAAGTTGAGGAAATAGGCTTTCTTCTTAGGTTGGTTGGCCTATCTCTTAGAGATGGGGTAAGGAGTTTAGACATGCAAGCAGAGAGAGGCTAAGAATAGAACCGCTACTCCTAAACATCAAAAGGACTCAGTTGAGGTCGTTTGGGCATGTCCTACCTGGAGAAGGCCCGGGTTAGACCAAGGGCACGCTTGAAAGATTAGCTGGGCTTCTGTGCTCAGGCTGCTCCCCCTTTGACCCGGGCCCCTAATAAGTGTGGATGGGTGTGGGTAGTGCAATTCCTTTAAAGTAAATTGGCTCTTGTTCTCCAAAAACCATGAAAGGTCAGTAAAATGAAAGCTTTTCTCAACTCTGAGGCGAGTGATTGAGCTGCCTCCTGTGGGGTTCCCTTATTCTTCGCCGCCGCCTTCTTCCCCAGCCTTTTCTTTATTGCCACCTTCCTCGCCACGACCTTCTTTGTCTTCTTTTGGTGCATTGCTGCCTCCTCTTCTTTGGTGGTTGTCACCAAAAATGAAGGATTCTCCACTTCTCTGCTATTTTGAGGTTGCTCAGTATTACAGGTCTTCCTGAACCACTGCCGCCCTGCCAAAGTTATTATGGTTAAACTAAACTACTAAACTAGACCGTTGAAAAAAAATAAACTGAAACAGTTTTGTGAACTTGAAAGTACAAATAAAAAAAACTAAAATTATAGAGGAAATGTTCTGGGATTTCTGATTTTTGTTATTACAAACTAATTAGGGATTGATGGATCTTGTGATTGAGGCTTTGGATGTCTACAAGACAGATCTTCACTGGTTTTCTTCAATATACAAAACTACAAAATACAAAACTATAATAACTCTGCCGTCCACTTCAGTAGACTTTCTACATTATTGTGTTTTTGACCTAATCTCTCTTTCCATAACATTTCTTTCTTTTCTTTAATGAATTTGCTTCATAATGAAAAACATGCTTTACTGATGTTTTCTTATCATGAATAAAGTAGTCTCTATGTCCAATCCAGAGTCTGCTAATTACGAGTTTGACTCTTCTATTGATCACTATGTTTCTTGATATTACAAAAATTTTATTTTGCACTGAATATAAATTCCTCCCTGTTGTACTGCTGTCCCAGTTAAGTTGACACTCTCCATCTTTGTCCTTATGGATAATTTAATATTTAATTCTGTGTGAGCTTTTTTGATCGTGACTTTTACCAGTTTGTTCGACCTCTCGTTGCCCGGAATCCACACATGTGCTGGAACCCACATAAGTGCTATTCCCTTCCTGTGTCCTTGGCACCGGAGCGCTCCGCTCCCTGGCCTTAAGTACTCTGGCCTAATTGCTGAGGAGAATCAGCTACACAGAAAGGTGGCACCTAAGGCTGGGAAGAGTTGAAGACACACCCACAACGGCAAAATCACAGCAGCCCCTGCTCGAGCCGTATCAGTTAGGTTTTTAAAAAAAAAGGTAAAAGTGGCAGCTGCCACTTCTTTAAAGAGCTGCTTGCTTGCTTAGCTGACTTTTCCCTGGTGAATAGTCTGAACATCATATGTGCTACAGACACAAAATATGCTTCCAATTGAAATATATCCAGAGTCACAAAAAATGAGTATTCAAGTCCATGAAAATAACATATAGATTGCTTTTTATTGTGTGTGTGCGACTTCTTTACATTTTGCTATCAGCCCTGACGGCCCTGCTTGCCATCTGGGAATCACTCTAATTTAGCATAAATCAGTGGCTCTCAGTTTTTGGGTAGCGGACAATGAGATGGAAAAAAAGGAGGTGAAACAAGGGGGAATAAATACGTGGAGCGGTGGGGGAAGTGAACTAGTGATTGAGACCACAAAAATTTCAGCAAAGTGTTTAACAAACCCATAAAGCAAATGAGAATTAAGACTACACAAACTTCTTTTTGCCACTAGAAGAGTCACCACCTGCTGGCCACTGGAAAGAATGCAAGTTTATTTAAATATACATTAGGTTCACTTTTCAGACCCGCAGGCTATTCCTGTCTCCGTATAATAATTGAATACAGCTTTGGAGAATTTTCTTTAAGTAACCGAGGCACAAATCATGTGTAGTGTTTTGGATTGTTGATTGTTGGTGAAATTTCTGTGCATATTTTGTTAAAACCTACCCTGAGGACTTCAGCGTGTATATCCATGAAGCTTAAAAAATGCAGAGTAGGTTTACATATTATAAGAGTTAAAGCATATATGTCCTGTATTTTTTTCTCGAATGTATTCCTCCTCGTCTCCTCTGCCCTTCACTCTCCTGTTCGTGACTCAATGTCCCATTTTATGTGGGATTGATACAGAAAAAATGTCCCACATTTTGATTGGTTCTATTTTTAAAAGGTTGAACACATTTTACTAGAAATGGGTGGCGCAAAGACGACTAAGAGACAGAAAAGACCCAGAAATACACTCATCTGCCACTTTGTTGCGTAAATCTTGTCAGGTTGTCCTTTCAAAGCTGCCCCAATTCTTCATGCATTCCTGGGAGATGTTGGTCCATACAGACATGATAACGTCACGCAGATGCTGCAGTTTTGTTTGGTTGCACATCCATGATGCGAATCTCCCATTCTACCACATCTCAAATGTGCTGTATTGGATTGAGAACTGGTGACTGCGGAGGCCATCTGAGTACAGTGAACTCATTGTCCCGAGCTTTGTAATACATCATCCTGCAGGAAGTAGACGCAGACGACGGGTACGCTGTGGTCATGATGGAATGCAACAACGTTCAGGTCGGCTGTGGTGTCTCCACCATTACAGCATCAGCCTGAACCGCTGATAAGAGGCAGGATTGATTTCATGTTGCTTTTGCCAAATTCTGACCCATCCATCCAAATGCAGAAATCAAGGCTCATCAGACCAGGTGATGTTTCTGTTGTCTACTTTTTGTGAGCCTGTGTGAACTGTTGCCTTAGATTCCTGTTCTCAGTTGACAGGAGTACACCCTGCGTGGTCTTCTGCTGCTGTAGCAAAACAGCTTAAGGATCAGTATGTTGCACGATCAGAAATGGTACTAACAAGTGGTTATTTAAAGTTGCTGTTGCTATCTTATGAGCTCAAAGGAGTTTGTTAATTCCCCTCTCACATCTGGCAACAACAAGGCTTTTTCATCAAGATAAATGATGCTCACTTCAAGGAGGAGCATCACTATGGCATAAATGCAAGTCTGTTAAATAGTTAAAGCATCTAATATGTCAGTTTTTGTTTCTGGGTACAAACGTTTATGTTTTCCCTGTATCCAAAGAATTTTTATTTTTTTGTTAGACTCGTTGTCTTTTTTAATAAGGATTACCAAAGGTTTATTAAACCTAGCAACAATCATGATGTGTAAACATCTGGTCAGCGGTGTAAGGCGGTGCATGGAGGAGATGTATGTGCAAAACCAAATCAAGAAAACAGTGGTGCTGCGGCAGTAGACGGCGCAGACACCGTCACAGGAGCGGAGACGGGGTGTGATTTGAGCCCTGAGCACTTGCCAGGTGTTCCTCATTTCCTGTAGTCTCCACCATCACACAAGAAACTCCTGCAAAAAGCCCTGGAACCGTAACAGCACGTCTCACGTTGTCCCACCAAAACGTCCTCTTTGTCCCTCGTTTGTGTTGTATGAATCTGGCTGCTCAACCTCTAACCTGCGACTCCATCTCAGTACACCATCTCGATGATGGTCGTGTTCTGTTTTGGTTCCTCTCCCCTCTGAGTGCATCTAAGGAATTAAGACATCCTTCAGGATGAGATTATAGAGAAATGATGGCACATTGGTGCTTTCCTTGCTGCATTAGCGCCACCTGTTGATCAGTCGAGCAGTGTGAACCAAGAGAGAACCGTTAGAAAACATTCCTGAGGAGAAAAATATCTCTCCTCAGCGTTCAAAAAAACTCCTCGAGGTACCTTTAACCTATTTATTTTCTGGCAGCTCTTCACGGAGCGCACTTCGCAGCGGGATCTCGGTCATTATTTTATATTACTTACAACAGCAGAAACCGCAGCGACTTGCCTCACAATGATTACTTTCATATTCGTGTGTAGCACGGCTCCTGTGGGAGCCATCGCCGCGGCCTGCATATTGCAACCCACACGCGTGCGCCGTCTCACCACGCCTCACTGTAATGTGCACCCAGCAGCTCTCTGTACACTCTAACCATCTAACCACTTCATGTTCCAACTGTTGTTTTTTTTATTGTTTTAATTACTGCAGTTCTTTACTCTGTCTTGACTCGTAGCTGCTCGGCTTGCTCGCCTGCACCGTTGTGCAAGTGGAGGCCGAGAGGTCACCGAGCGGGTGTGAGCACGTAAAACGCAAGTGGGTGAGAATAGAATGGCGTAATCCATGGATCTGTCAGTGTTTACTCAGCAGGACACGTTTAAGTCTCAATGCACCGCTCCTTAACGTTACACTGCACCGCCACGCCGCTGTTGTTCAGGCTAACGAAGTATGTTTCCCTCAGCCTTCATCTCTAATTAAATAGGCTAAGCCGTTCTTTTTCGAGTGGGTGGTACAGTAAATGTTTGATATGTGACTCAGTCTGATTTTTAGAAGACGCAAACTCGCCAGTACTTTGCTTGTTGGTTTAGTGTTTCGGTATTTGCTCTCAGACTTGGAAAGAAGCCCTCGGTATTAGGATTGAAAAGCTTGTTGATGTCCTTTTGAGAGCAGCTGGATAATGTTTGATCACTTGCTGATTTAGTAGAGACATGTACTGTAAACACTGACCCCCCCCTCATCGAGAATCCAGACATTACCCTGTCACCCATTTGTTTAACGATATTTCCTAACTGGACATAATTCCTGTTTACAACTGGCACGCTGCGTGCTCTCAAATTTTAGTATCGCGATTATGTGAAGACTTTCCTTTCGCGACCAATTATTCGAGCGCTCCATCAGCAAAAGGCTCACGTTTGTGTGTGTTTTAACTGTTTGATGCCCTGCAGGTGTTTTTCACGAGGAATGGGAAGCTCATGGGCCGGAGGGAGATGGTCGTCCCTCCTGGGGGCCTGTACCCCACCGTGGGGATGCTGAGCAGCGGCGAGAAGGTGAAGGTGGACCTGCATCCCCTCAGCGGATGAGCCTGGGACTCGTGACGCCTTGCAAACAGCCGACTGCGCTGTAGAGCTCACAAACGGTAGCCTAGCATGCTACTAACACTCGCCAGAACGCACTCACTTCAGCTGCACTCATGCACATCGCTGTCGTCTTCCTTCCCCGACTTTTATTTATAAGACTTGTACATTTCACAGCCGTCATGGCAGACGGCCAGCCTCGTGGCTGTAAAGAAGCAGTGACAGGTCCTACGTGGGCTGTGTAGGTTACAGAGTACTTGCTGCAGGAATACACGGCTGCACCTCAAAGCGAGAAACTCCAGAGAGACATTTAACTGTTAATTCTATGCAATCTGCACTGCTGTCGTCCTCTCCTCTAACCTCCTCCTGCATGCAGTGTGTGTCTGTAATACTGAGCTGTTAAATCCCTCTCATGAGGTCTGGCACACTTAGTTTATTTCATTTGTCACAACCCCAAGCAAAGCAGAGCAAGGCCAACAGTTGTGCCGAGTCAGAGCTCGTTCGCAGTTTATGTGTCAGGGAATAGACACCCCCTCCTCTTCACCTCCTCTCTCCTTGCCACTCTCCTTTTCTTTGTGTCTCTCACTCTCTTTCCCAACCTCTCCTCATCCTCTCTCTGGGTGAGGGTGCCCTCCTCTGAGCGATCGGAGACCTGCTGTTGCCCCACCTCGCTCGCTGCTCTCCCAGAGCTGGCTGCAAGTCAGCAGTGGATCTGTCTCAGACGTGCATTAACATTCATTTTTTTGCTTTTTGTTTTTTTGAATCTGAATTATTGCAAGTACGGTAAACACAACCAAACATAAGACGCTGCCACTGAGCAGCACAGACGTTTCCTCAGAGCGGACGAAGAGCTTTTTGAGTGTTTTGTAGTGAGATTACAAATGAAAATATATATAAAAAACATGTCAGGTATATTTTCTATGAGGAATCTGTGAAATATACTTTTCAGTTTATCTTCTATGTCAGAAGTTCAGGGAATGCGATTTGTTGCACTTATGTGAAAGGGAAGCTGTTAAGGGAACACATGCACACAGCGGGTGGACAAAATAACAGAAATAAACAGTGAAATGCTGCCTGATGCGACACAACACACTACAGCCATAACAATAACCGCAAACCTAACAATAACCACAAATAAAACACCTCTGAAAGGAAAAGCCAACTCTGCAAACCTCACACACAAGCATCAGGCGCAGGGCTGTTGGATTCGATTGCATCACACTGTACTGTAATGTAATATTTTTGTACTCCTTCTGCATGTTTGCCCACTACATGAAGAATTATTCAGCATCTTCATTTTCTTTCCCTCAAAGTTTTGAGTGATATCTTTCGAAACAATCTGCTAGTTTCTCTCCCTTTGTGATGTAATATTAACTATATTGATGTTTATTTGCCGTTTGTGCGACATGTCAGAAGAAAAATGTTTTGTCTTTGTGTTTGTGGCCACCAGCACTTTAACATTGTGTTTGTGTGACTGTGCAGAGAGCAGAAGCAGCACCGGGAGTCTGTGTCACAAAGTTTGATTCGATCACTTTTTCTAATTTTGTGCATCCAAATTGTTTTTTTCCCCTTCCAGTCACCGTCTAGCAATGTAATTGAATTAAATGTAATTTAATTTCTATCCTGCTAGTAAAAAAACCCGAAGCAGCAGCTTGCATCAGTTGCTCAGAGGGAGAAAAGGTCGCACTTCAGCAATATTTTTCAAGTGATAGAAGGCAGATGTGGTGGCAGACCCGACAGAGCACTAAAGTTAAAATCTGAGTGAAAGATCACTCCTGGCATTTCTTTCTTGACGGCTTGGTGCAAATCCAGGAGAATTCACTTTTGCAATCAGTTTTTGCCTCGAAGCTTTAAAAGTGTTTGTTTATCCACACACTGAATCTCTCAGACATCATAAGAAAAGAAGGGTGATGTCAACGGTTTGTCTCAGTTTATCTACTTGATAACGAAATCTTACAGTAGGACTTGAAAGAAATCAGTCAGCACAACCCTTTGAGGTTAAATTGTAAGAAAGAAATGTGTAAAATTACAGAAAAGAATGTCCTGTAATTAAAAAACAAAACAAAAGAAGTTTTATGTAATTTAATTGTTTATCTATCAGTTAATTACTTTGATGTAGTATGAATGGCTGCGAGGGAGGTCTTTATCAGTCGTAAAAGTCTGAAAACAAAAAAGAAAAAAAGGATATATAGTCCAAAACTTTTATCCTCCACTTCTTCCAAAGAAGTACAGACGGCCAGATTGGAGTTTTTGCCAGGCCGAATCTGGCCCCCGGACCTTATGTTTGACTGGATTAGTAAGCGCTGGCTATCCAAAGAGAACGAGACCCAGGTTAAGTTGCACTTTGGGACACAGACTCCGGAGCTGAAGCAATCTGTCGAGTTTGTCGGAGCTGGTTTCCACACATTTCTAATTTATGGTTAAAGGGAGAAAAGTCATCATTGTTATTCTGTATCAGCCAAATCAAACTGAATTCCTCTGCATCTTCCTATTACAACATCTGCATCCCTGTAAAATAAACATTCCTCTGCGCCTTCATAAAAGGTGCAAGCAGCAGGTTTCTTTAGCATGTACACAAAATCATCCACAGGTCACTGCAGACGGTGATGCTAGAAATCTAATGTGATGTAAAACTAATACACAGGGTTACCTATTAAATCACATCTGCTGGAGAGTGCGTGTTTGTATTTAGTCGTCACGTGTTTGTTTGTTTTAGAGCCAATGATATAAAAATGTAATCAGATATTTGTTTTTTCCTTCACATGCAGGGCTGGATAGAGACTTATAACTAAAAACTGTAAAGCTAGACAGCGCAAAGATACAAATGAGACACCGATGTGGGCGATGTTAGCCACATCTCCGTCCAGGGTTTTGAAGTCGCTTATACTGACGTTTACTCAGTTCATCAGTTTACAAAAAAAGTTATGCGGTTCAACCAAATTAGAGCTAAATGCAGTGAGAGTTTTTGTAGCGTCTCCAAACGTGTTCACCAAGAATTTATGTACCAGTTTAAAAAATAAAAAATTCTTTGCCTTGTTGAATTGCACTATAATGGCCTTGTTCAAACATGTTTAAACGTCAATAAAAGTTTCAGTAATGTAACAAAGTGATTGTTTTGATTTCTCCGTGGTGGTGGTCCATAAGTGGATTTGGTGTCACTCTCAGGTAAGTCAGTGTTTAATGAACAAGGGTAAAAATGTAAAATGTTAGTGTTACAATGAAGGGAAATGTCCTGTCCTGCCAGTAATTTTACTTTATTTTTAAGTAGTTTTATATTATGCTTCCTGAAAATGTTTTGTATTGCAAAGCTTTAATTACTTATTTGAAATATAAATCTAAAACATTATGTTGTAGTATTTCAGCTCCAGCTCCATTATTACAGTGATATACATGAATCAGTAATTATTAATCCAGTAATATAATGTTTAGTCCTGTTAAAGAAGCTCTCACGTGAATCTTGTGGAGGACGTTTTCTTTTTATCGTTCGTTTGCAGACCTGCTGCTGTGCTCGGGATCTCTGTCGGCCCCGTTTTGGCCCAGCTTTAGCTGTTGGACTGATCTCCTCACATTCGACTCTAGAATATTTTGGTACACAGAGGAGTTCATGGTCGACTCGATGACTGCGAGGTACCCAGGTCCTGTGGCTGCAAACCAAGCCCAAACCGCCACGCTGACAGCTGGTATGAGTTTGTGCTGATATGCCATGTTTGGTTTTTGCCAAATGGGCACTGAGCATTATGGCCAAACATCTCCGCTTTGGTCTCTAAAGAGGCATTGTTCCAGAAGTCTCCACTAAGCCGTGCTGCCGTGTTCTTTTTTTTCCTCCTGGCAGCCACACTTGTAGCTTTTGCTTTTTCAGTTTTCTGCTCCTGGGAAGATTGACAGCAGTCTTGAATGTTTTTCACTTGTTTCTCAGCATAAGATGATGCACTTCAGATTGTTTGGTCAAGTGACTGATTAGTATCTGACTGCTACTTACACTCTTAATGGGAGCAGTAAGATGTACTTTCCTCATAACTGCATATGATCCTGTACAATGAGAACCTTTCAATAAGGCTGCTGCTTTAGTTTAGATTAAAACTTTCATTTAAGAGTCTAAATTCCTTGTTTGACCACTTGTCAAAAGTTCTTGTAGCGTGCTGCTTTTTCACGTAACCTCAGGGATGCACCTGGAGCAGCTGCACTGCGTTATGGCTCTAAAGCAGATCGCTTGTAGTCCCACCAGACCCACCGCAGTGAGTTTCAGACACTTCCCAGAAGTGGCAATTCACACTGCACCACTTTAAACGGTGCCAGGTCTTGTTTATTTTCCCCCCCAACTGACGCCAGGTCAAGCTGCAAAGAACAGATGAGGAGGGTCCAAGGGGAGTCTGGTCAGATTTCAAAATAAAAGACCCCATGAGAACTTAATGTGTGTGAGGTGCACATAAACATGAAAATAATACCAGTTTTTAAACAGTGGTCCCTTTTTATTTGTGTATGTATATATTTCTTTTATTGTGTTTCAGTGATAGTTTTCCTGGACAATGAACTCCTAATTCAGGCTAGTGAAGTCATTCTTGCATGATTAGGATCTTAGCTTTTGGTCTGGGGTACAGATGCAGAAGACTGTAGGAGGGGAGTTTCTCTAGCTATTCCCATCTGCCTTTGACACTGCTTTGTCTTTCCCGCTTATAGATGCCATTACAAGGCTAACTAGGATTTCTGTGATATGTCTGAATAATATGAAACCAAATAAAACATCAGCCAAACTTTAATGCGAAATTACAAAAGTACATCACAGTTTTTGAAAACAATCTTAAGCAGTATGTCAAAAGATACTCAGAGTTTATTTATACAGTAGCGGGTCAGGCTGTTTGGTCCCCTGGCTTAAAATGTTACAATAATCATGTCCAGTTTTAACTTGTCAGAAGTGGAAACAAATGATCATTAGTCTCTTACAGTTCAATGCGTTCATGGTTACATATGTGACAAATTAAAGGGAAAAAACAAAAACCTAACCCACGCAGTGAGAGGTGGCTGTGTGCTAGTCTGGGTCCACCTGTAACATTTCCATCCTGGTGGAAGTCTTCTTCTGGGTGACAGTGCCTCCACCTGGACACGAGGGCTCACAGTGGTTTGAGGGTGAAAATAAAGTTACTCATAGGCTGCGGCTTTCACAATCAACACATCTCAAGCCAAATGAACGCCTATGGGAGATTCTGAACAAGCGTTTTAGACCGTGCTCTCAACTCGCTCACCATTAGGCTACCTGAGTCAATGCCAAGGTGCATTAAAGCTGTAGGTTTTTCCTTTAACTGTCATCCATCTGTGGGATCAAGAACTCAAAAGTCACAGCTGGATTCTTCTTAGAAAAGAAACCAAACTTATTATTTTCTACTTTGAAAAGTTTCTGAATTAAGACAGTCACAGCTGAGCTGCAGTCTAATAAGACCGTGCAGTCGGTTTCTCATGACAGCAGTTTGATAATGAAGCATCCGATGAAAATACAAAATTACAAAAGTCGCGTACACAAAAAAAAAATAAAACATCTGTTCTGTGACTCATAACATTTGGGTTAAAAATATTTATTTAAAGGGGAATCATTTTAAATATCTTTTTTTTTTTTTAAATTTGATTATTCTAAATGTCGTGAAAGAGGCACGAATAAAATTCACTCTGGACACGGCTGCAACTTTATATCAAGAAGAGAAGAAGAAACTGTCTGAAAAAGGAGGAATGGCAGAAGATCAGTTAAGCGTCCGTGGATGTCGTCGTTTTGGCCGAGAGCAGAAAATTCACTTTATACGTCCCCTTCTTCCTCCTCTTCTTCCTCCTCGTAGTGTCGGTTACGTTTAATCAGCTCCTCCACCGTCAGCTCCTCATGCTCTTCCTCGCTGTCCCAGAAGCCCACGTCCTGAGACGACCGGCTGGCCTCCACCTCTGCCTCCGGAGAGGAGACTGCAGTCGGCTCAGTTGGAGTCTCCTGAAGTTTAGCATCTGGCATGTCTTCCTCCAGCACGCCTCCGTCTTCCTCCTCCATCTGCTCCTCCTCTTCACCTTGTCTTCCTGCAGCGTCATCGAGATCCTCCTCTGTGGGGAGATGATGGTCTGTAGCGTCTTCGCTCTTCATCTCCTCTTCCTGTTCTTCCTCTCCGGAGCTGGTGTGCACATCTACACAGCTGTCCTCGGTGGGGGTTTGGCTGTCTGACGACTGGCCGCCGTGCTGGAGGTCCATGCTGGCGGGTTCAGGACTCTGCTGCCGCTCTACCAGTGCACTCTGCTTTTTGGGCTCAGGAGCAGGAGGGCTGTCAGGTTGAGCTGCCGCGGTGAAGGGCATGCTGCGCTCCTTCAGGGGGGTGTTTCGACGCAGAACAGGTGAGCCCCTGGCTTCCTCTGGTGGTGTGGATGGGGAGTCTTCCTCTGGAGGCCACTTGGCTCTGATTGGTTTACCCGTGGAGACTACCTCCGTGTTGGCGGCAGCTCCACCGCGGCTGGGCGTGTCCTCAGGCTCAGTTTTTGGTGGCCAGGAGATCTTCAGCCTGCGGGTCTCTGTGGGTTTGTCAGCCTTCTCTGAGGAACCTTGTCCCAGAGCCTCCATGGTGGCCGTCAGGACGTTGACTTTAGCCAAGGGTGAGTCCTCCACACTGGGGCTTTCCTGGTCTGAGGGTGTGGCCGGGCTCTGGGCTGTTGGTTTGGTTACAGATGTCGGCGAGGCCTCAGCGCTCTCGTTTTTGCCCTCCCAAAGTTCCTTGTGCGGCCGGTGGCCGAAGCCCTCGTCGTAGTTTCCTTTGGCCTTGAAGAGCTGGGAGAAGTGCGGCTTGCAGTAGACGCTGTTGTGCAGGGAGGCATAATTCGCCAAACTAGACCAAAACAAAGGACAGTTTAGAGAAAACAGACCTCTTCTAAAAAGAAGTCAAAGTCTTGATCAGGAATGGTTTGAAAGAGATTGTTAACGTGGGTTCATAACAGGTTAAAATGGTACTTTTGAGTAGTTTTGAGAAAGTTATTGGATATTTTTGATGGAATAAATAGAATCAAAATAAACAGCAGAACATATCTTTAAATTCTTTAGATTACTGGGAACACAGGACCTTGAGATAAAGTTTAATTTAGAGGGTTTTTTTTCTCCAAGTAACCCTGCAGAAGAGCTTTACATGCAGTAAAATCCTTTGTAAATGTTCGCGTGGGTGTATTGTCTGACACGATCTGCCGTGGCCTCACCTGAGTTTGGTGTTGCAGTGTGAACAGCGGAAGCAGGAGCTGTGGTAAACGTTCTGGTTGGCCACGAGCCTCTCCAGAGGATAGACCGTCTTCAGGCACGATGCACAGGTCTCCCTCACCGGCAGACGGAAGTTCTGCACACGCATAAACATGATTTCCCCCCATTTTTAGTCACATATGGGCACCAACAATGACTGCTGAGCCCATCAAACCTCCCCAAAGCTACTCTGTTAAAGTCTAAGAATAAAAATAAGGAGGTGGAGATGAGTGTAGGGTGCACAGGTGTGTGTGAGGTGTAAATGTTTGTTGTGAGGGCTCACCCTGGGAGTCTTTGACTGGGACGAGTCTTTCTGATTGGAGGACGCAGGAGTGCCGGGTCCTGAGCCTGAGAGAGCAAAATAAGAATAAAAATTTTTTTAAAAAAGAAAGGCAGTAATGCAGAACCAACACTAGAGGGAGCCATCTGCATATTTGATAAAGCCCTTCCACTTACAGGATTACAAACTAAAGCCAAGGACGGACAGTTCATACCGAGACGTGAGAACCTCACTTCAACTTTTCATCACGAATTATCTGCAGAACTTACCGTTGGTCTCTGAGGTGAAAATTCTCCTGGTGTTCGGTTCAGACTCTGGACTCTGAAACGGGAGAAGAGATGTGAAAGAAACAAAACAAAAAAACATCACACACTGACACACGTTTAGATAAATGCGTGTCGAGATGAGCCGAAACTGATGCACTGGAACAAAAACACCTTCAGGCTATAAACTCTCACCATGTCCAGAGTGCACGGGGGGACGTTCTCCTTCTGCTTCCCACTGAAACCATCCAGCTGATCATCCTGAGCAAAACAAGAAGGACGAGCGGAAAGTTAACAACGGAATATAAGCCATCGGCATCACCTGCTTCATAGGAGATAAACCTACTGGGTATCACCTGTAGGGTTATTGTTAACAGAGCATCCACAATGCTGCACACTGTGTGGGACTGCAGTGTCTTAGGTATATGTGCCATTTGGCTCCAAGTAATTTTTAAGTATACAAAACAGATGTTTAAACCTATATCAGAGAGCGCAGTCACTGCCTGTTGACCAATAATGCAGCTGGTCAACAGCAACAACAACTCCAGGAAAAAGTAGGTCCACAAAAACACAATTACTACATGTGCATCGTAATCATGCAAATATCTTTGCTGGGATCACATGTAAGGAGTCATTTTGTTTCAACTTGCTTCCATTAGCTAGTTTGTCTCCAAAAATCATCCCAGAAAATACAAAATTCCCCAGTGCTCTGCCCCACGGGTGTCCATTCAGGCCTGGAATAATTCAGGAACATCGGTGTGGTGGTGATGGCACAGAGTTCACAACCCAGCTCGGCTCCACAGAGACCGATTTACACTGTTTGTTTGGAAATACTTTGGCTTTTTGTCAGCGGGCAGTGTGATTCTGCAATCTTAACTGCGCTGTCTAAATAATAAATAGGCTCGTGTTACAAGCGTCATGCACCCAAAGGTCATGCATGATTCATTTCCTGTTTCACGTCGAGGAAAAGATAACAGCTGAAGCATGTTTTTCACAGCAGGGCTCGCTCAGGCCACTGAATGTCCATCCTCTGTAACTTAACCCAATTATTTTATAATGTGAAGGTATGCAGATCTTTTAAGGGCACATTTTTTAAATTCTCTGGTTGATTTGTGTTATTTCATATTCAGCTCCAAGACAATTAAATAGGATTATTTCGAATTCACTAACCATGAATACTCCACCAATCTCACTTTTATTAGAAATTTATAAACCAGAAATGAAAGTTTCCAGTAAGGCACAAAAAGCTCACATTGACTGAAGTGGGAAGGACTTCCTGTTTGGAGATGGCTGCTTGATAGAGGGCCATCCGATCACGGAGAGGCGTGGACTCGGCGAGGCTTCCATCTGCAAAAAACACACAACACTAGAAGTTATTGCCTAACAAACACTTCAGCTATTTTAACTCATCTTTGTGTGCACATCATGTCTGAACAGTGTTTTCTGTGCTTGCTGTAACCTGCAGACGCCACTTTTTTTTGTTACAGTTCATTAATCGCTGTGAATGCAGGCTGATGACGGGAACACGGGGTCAGGAGCTGCGTGCAGCGTGGAGGGAAACTGTGGGTTTGTCTCTTCCTGTGCTCTCTTAGGCAGTGGGCTGATCACAGCGCTTACACAGCAGGCCGTGTCGTCACTTCTGAGCTTTTTCATTTCGGGGAAGGATGTAATCCATCCAGGAAGATAGCAGGAAGAGACTCTTTGTAAAGAAAAATCCCAAAGACTTTGTAAATCTGACACCGTTAACGAAGAGCTCCAGTTTACCTTTGACATAGCAGATGTCTTTCCGTTTGTTTTTCCATCGCTCATGTTTTTACTGTATGTGGTTAAAATGACTGCATACGCACACGAGGTGCCTTTTTTGGCTGTCATCACAAAAGTCAGACAGCTGCTGACACCAAAACTGACCTAAAAGAGGCCGAACTCTGCATTTATATCACATCAGGGGACTCTAATGTGACTCCAAACATTAAAACCGAAGTATTATTCACCAACTGACTGCTCTTACTGCAGACCTTCACTTCATCATTTTCCTGATACAAGCTGTTTAAAGTCAGCCTCTTTTTAAGCCAGACAGCATGATGCTCAAGAATAAAAATAATCTCTGTAAACAGAACTCAAAGGGATCTACTTGATTCTGTTTGGTCAAAACTGCTCTGCCTAGAAAGTACACTTGAGCAGGCTTGAATTAAATGCAGGTAAAGAGATTAAAATAGAGGGAGGGCATTTGCCAAAATGCGCCAGATACCTAACAGCTATTGACAATAACAAAGCTTTAAGCTCAGCAAAACAATGTGCAAAACAAAAAGCCTGGGAGCAGATATCCAAGTATTGGCTGTTGCTTCATCAGGTCACTTAAGTACCAAATAAAGTAGATGCTTATGTTACTCAGCTACAAGTAAATATCAAAACTATCACCATCATCTCAGAGTTTACCAATTTGTTAGCAGAGAGCCACGCTTCTGGTTTATACCTGAATTCTAGGAAATTAATCATCTGTCCATTTATTTATTTATTTATTTCTACCGCAGCCGTATAAGATTGATAAGACAGCTAATCATGAACCTAAACATCGAGAAGAGCAGCAACCACACGCTTCTATAAAGCTGAAGTGGACCGCAGAGTCAGCAGCTTTCGCTCTACTGAGGAGGTTATGTCACGGATTCTGGGTTTACTAAAAATGAGTCCTTTAAGGTCACATGCAGGGGCTCGTTTTCTCAGGTTTCTCCTCAGTCATTTAAAAAAGAAAAGAAAGAAAAGAAAAAAGGATGACCTGCCTCTTACATGTCAAAGAGTTTCACTTCCTCTTTAAATTAAAA